GTGGACAGTAGGTGCCGGAGGAGGGGTAGGGCCCCTCCAGCTCGTTGCCCACCCTTTCTCCAGGGCAGCACAGAAGAGCCGCTTGCTCTGTCACTGAGGGAGGGAAGGGAGTGTCCTTTGTGGAGGAGCTGGTCCAGGAAGAGGCCGCCAGAGTTTTGGCCGCTGTGCACCTGACACCCGGGCCCCCGCAGGCATCCCCAGCTGTTACTCCCCCTTCCCACTGGCACGCCCCCTCCTCCACTTCTCTCACGTTTCAGCCTCGCCATCCACCCAGGCACTCAAGTGACAAGTCTCAGTGTCGTCCTTGACCTCTGTCCCACCCCAGCCCCCCCAGGTCAACAGGTGGCCAAGGTCTTGTCGACTCACCATCCCCCCAGGTGGCCCTGGGACGGGCCACCCGTGATCTTGGCCGTGTCTCAGTCAGGCCTCTGTGTCTCCCCTCACCCCCCACCCCCTTTCTCCCCACCAGAGGCTCTTCCTCCCTGTCCAGTTGGTGTTTGGGGGGCTTTACTCAGTCCCGCCTGTGTGCCTGGGCCTGGGTGATAGCCTCCACCCACGGGATTCTTTAAAACAGACCTGGTTGTCCTCTGACCAAAAGACCCCTTGCTTCCCTTCTCCTCATAGGATAAACGGTAAACCCAGCATGAGGCTTCCATCCCCTGTCTAGCCTCTCACCCCTGCTCTCCCCTCCCTGCTCGGAGGGGTCACAGCTCTGGAAGCCATTCTCTTTCCAGGGTGATTTGACCCAGACTGTCCATCCGTGAGCAGGTGGGTGGCGGGGATTCCTCTATCCTCCCCACCCCGTGCTCTATGGCACAGGGCAGGCAGCCAGTAAACATCGTTGAATTGAACTTGATAGGAGAAGCTGGGGGGGATTGGCCAAAAAAACAAGTTTAAAATAAAAATCCCAGCCTTCTTTTGCCTTGGTTGACAAGGAGGCTTTCTCTTTGCCTTCTGGGGAAGAAATTTATGGAGAACTCCGCGTCTCCAGGGAGGACGAGGAGAAGAGGCAGCCAGTAGGCACGGTGGTCTTTACATTTAAATTATTTATTTAATACAAATGAAAAACGCAGTTCCTCCGTAGCAGGGGCCCCACGGTAGGCTCTCAGCGGCCACACGTGGCTGCCGTATTGAACGCGGCAGGTCCACGGCATTTACGTCAACGCAGAAAGTTCTGCTGGGCAGGACTGGTCTGGATTGGCCCACACGCTGGATCTTCAGATTCATCGTTCATCCGGAGAGCCTTTACTGGGTGCCGCCGAGCAGACAGAATGTTGGGATCCCAGGAGGAAGTGAAAGACACCAGCTCTTCGGGGAGTTTTCGTGTATTCCGGAGAGTTTAAACCCAGGGGCCTTGGGGCAGACTCTATCGAGGACGCTGCTCTCCACGGCCCTGGACCCTCCTTGCTCTGTACGGGCAGCCGGGGGCCTTTAGGAATAAAGCGGCAGCCCCCAGCTCCGGCAGGGCCGCAGCCAGGGATTGATGGCTGAGCACGAGGGCCGTTAGCGGTGGAATTTGGCCCTGTCTGGGCCGCCTCTCTCCATTGTCTAGATTTCCTTCCACACTGACCTGGAAGAACTCCCAGAGCAACAGGCCGGCCCAGGCTGTTTGCACCAGTAAACCCTGCAGCAGTCCCCAGGGCAGAGAGTAGCTGGATCGTATTTATTTAGGAACAGCCGAAACTTGAGGCGCAATAAAAAGTGGAGAGAAGATTCCGGAGAGGAATGCAGCAGGCCCCGGGCCCGGAATTCGTCTTGCTCTGGAAGGCTGCTGGCGGCCAGACTGGGGCCGGCCCTGGAGGGTCTCGGCCGGCTGCCCGCCTTGCTGGCAGGTACAGTAGCAGTGACTGCAGGAGGGTCAGCGGGAGGGGTCTGGGGGATGCAGCTTCTTTATTTTTAACTCAGGGAAGCAAACTGTGTGGTGGAGTTTGGGGATGAGCAGGAAATGAACGGAAAAGTCTTTTTTTTTAGGTGAGAGGCGGGCATCCCCTATAGCTTGGAGCTAATTATGGAGGATTCGCAAGTACCTGAACGAGGGGAGGGGGAGGGGAGAGGTGGCAGAGATTCTGAGCTCAGAGCCTCAGAAAGTGTCCTTTCAGCCGAATGCCTCTTCCCCCACCTCCTCACAGGCCCCTCCCCAGAATGTACCCCAGGAACAAGGCTGTGCCCCTCTTGTCAACCCCTTCCTGAGGCCCCTGCTGCCTGTGTCAGATTCACCTGGAGCGCTTGCCCCCTTTCCGCATGGCTGGGCCAGCCCAGGCCTCCTGGCTTGTGATGGGAGTTCAGGGGTCACTGGGATTGCCTCTTCTGTGTCCCGTCCCAGCCAGGCGCTGGGGCGCGCACACGCACTTCGTGGAAAGGGGCATAGCAGTGTCTTTAAAGATAAAACAGGCCTCACTCTTCCTCCTTACCCCGCACTGGGCTCCTCGCTGGTTATGGTGACATCAAAAAGAAGGTGGCTGGGAGTATGCAGATCACGGGTACAGGTCTGTGGGGCTCAAGGGTAGAGATACTGCCTTTAGAACTGTCTGGAAGGGGCTGCTGGGCAACAGTACCCATCCCAGGACGTGGGCAGGCTCCGGTGGCTGGGGGCTTGCTGGCTGGCACGAGCAGAGTTCCCAGAACTGTGGCCCGGGGGGCGGGTCCTGCCTCCCCAGGGCATAAGGCGTTGGTCAATGTGGGGATGTGCTGAGTTCAGAAGCCAGCCCCCTCACTGGGGCTGCTCACGGGTTTACTATGCTAATATGCTTGTTGAAATCAAAGACCAGGACAGAGTTTTTCGTAACCACAGAGCCCTGTCTTGTTCTGCTAGAAGGAGAAGCCACATGGGGAGCCCTGACCTGCTGACCAGTTGCCCCCTGAGTGGCCAGTGCTGAAGCCAGGACTCAGTGAGCAGCGGGGGTCGGCCGCCCCCTTCTCCCACTGCCTGGCCTCACCCCACCTCTGTGCCTGGCCTCTTCGCGGCTCATGACTAACACGGCCCCGTCGGAGCCAATCGGTGCTGCCAGGTTTTCGGTTTCAAATTATCCCCCGCTTGGGCCAGAATGTTTGGAGTTTTAGGCATGGTTGGGGAAAGGACGCTGAGCCAGACTATGCCGGAGAAAAACCGAGGGTCAAGCTGTGCTCAGCAGCTGCGCCAGCCGCAGCAACAAAACGCACAGCGTGTGCAGCCGGCACCTGAAGCAGGTGGTCAGGATGGCTGAGGCCACGGCTGGGCTCCTCGTCCTGGTCCAGCCGCCCCCCAGCTGGCCCGGTCTGCCGCTCCGTGGGGCCTTCCTGGGCCTGCTCACCGCAGCGGGAATTGGTGTCGAAGAGTGCCCTGTGGCATTAAAGGGGTTTCTTTTTTCATACGTTTTCTGTAGTTGCTAAATCTAATACAATGAACATATAGTACGTTTATAATCAGAGAGAAACAATAAGGAATATTTTTTTCAAAATCAGAAAGGAGATTAAACAAACAAATCAAAAAACCTCCAAGATTCCCATTGTTTCCCACTGTTCTAACTTAATTGTTGGTGGTTGGCTTACTGTTATGTGTTAGAATGAAATATAATCACCAGAAAACATCGTTCAGGGAGCCCTGGCTCTTAAGTCTGTCTGTGGTGTCTGTTTGAGTGTCCTGTGGCTGATGTAACAAATTACCACAAACTTGGGGGCTTAAGTCAACAGAAATTTATTCTCTCACAGTTCTGGAGGCCGGAAGTCTGAAATCCAAGTCTCGGCAGGGCCGGGCTCCTGGGGAGCTCTAGGGGAGAAGCTGTTCCCTGCCTGCTCCAGCTTCTGCGGGCTGCCAGGCTTCCTGGGCTTGTGGCCGCACCACTCCACTCTTCAAGGCCAGCCTCTTCACATCTCTCTCTGATCCGTCTGTACATCCCCTTCTCTCTCTCTGTGTCAGATCTCCCTCTGCCCCCCTCTATGTGAGTACACGTGATGGCATTTAGGACCCTCCCAACCCCCTGATTCAGGATAATCTCCCATCTCAAGACCCTTCACTTAATCCCACCTGCAATGACTTTTTCTCCAAATAAGGTCCCGTTTACAGGATCCAGGGATTAGGGTGTGAGATCTTTGGGGCCACTGTTCAGCCTACCACAGTGCCCACCTTCCGTCACTGTGCAGGCAGCCACCTTTGGAGCTGTCCTGCAGACTCTGCTGGGGGTGGGGTGTTGCTATTTGGTGTCTCCCAGAAGGTGTCACCCCCCAACCCCCAAGAAGATGCCCTTGCTACCTAGGAGACTGCATTTGGGGTCCTGCCCTGGGCAGGAGGGGACGGGGACTTTGTGACATCCAGCAGAGAAGTGTGCATGGCCCTCTTGTGTTGACATGTGGCTCATGTGGCCCTGTAGGGCAGGATTGTAAACTCAGAGGTCACCTGGAGGAGGGGCTGGCAGATAACGAAAATGAGTGATGGGGCTGTGGGGACCACAGCAATCCAGAAAACGCGGTTTCATCTAAAGAGGGTAGCAGTCTTCAAGGCGGCCCCTTGGGCCAGGCAGGAAGGCTCATTCCGTGTGGCTATATGCCCTCCCTTTTCCGAGAGATGAGGAAAATCTGGAGTTCTCGGTGAAATTGCCCGTTTGCAACATTGGCACGAATACACATTTTCTTTAGACAGGGTCAGTTAGGCATACAAAACCTGCTTCTGTGTCTTGGGTAGAGGGCTGCCAGTCTGAACCCTTGCGGTGAATGAAGCTTAAAGGGCAGAGGAGGTGCCCCCCAGCCCTCGCTCTGACCACGTGCTGTCCCCCTCCACCCCTGAGTTGCCAGCTGAGCAGTTCCGGGACCCCAGGTGAATAGCAGGGAGCAGTGCTGAGCCCCCAGCCCGGCCAGGCCCCGTGTCCTCTCCCAGAGAGGCGCTGAGTCTGGGGAAATCAGTGGCGAGGAGCTGCGCTCCCTCCCAGGGGACAGCTGGAGACTCACTGACTCATGAGTAAGTGGTAGGACTCTTCCAGGAAGTCTCCATCCCGCGCTCCCCTCTCGGCTGGGGTGGGACGGCCAGCTGCCTCTGTCTCCGCAGGCGGACGGCACACCCGGGCGTCTGCAGGGGTGACTTCTCCGGGCTCAACCCCGGCAGGTGTTCCTGAACCTTCCCTCGGCCCCTGCCTGGGGCGCCACTGCCCCTCCTTCCGGCCGGGTCAGGGTGGGAGTGAAGGGCCGGCAGAGGTGGAGGGAAGGGAAGGCGGGCAGGCAGGAACCAGGATTTTCAAACGCTCCAACCAAAGGAAATCGCAGCATCGCGGGCCGGGGGAAATGAAAGACTCTGGAAGTCTCCAGGAATTTGATTCTGTGAGCTGGTTTCCAAGAGGCTAAGTTAAGCTTCTCCAAGTGGATATTAAAAAGGAGCAGCGAGACGAGCCCGGGCGGAGGGGCTGGAGGGGGTGGAGAGAAGGCACCGGAAGCCGCCGCACGCTGCACCTCGGGAGCCACCGCACAAAGCCCCGCCGGCCGGTCCTCGGCCCGGAGGACCCTGGGGACCGCAGGAGCCTTTCAAGGCCCACGTCCGGCCCTTGCTCCCGCCTCTTCTTTTATTTCTCTCCTTCGCTGCCTTTCCCCTCCCGATTCCAAGAGACAATGCTACTTCAGTTTGGAGCACAAACATATGATCAGCACATGGAAATGTGGTAATTTGGATGCATTCGTGATTGCAACAGATTGAAGAAATTAGACCAGACAAAGAGTGTTTTTGGAGGAGGAGGAGAGGAGGCAGAAAGAGGGAGGGCGACGGGGTGAGAAAGGGGAGGACGCCTCTGGAAAGGGGGACGCCGGGACTCCCGCCTGCTGCTAAATATATCCGTAGTGATGGAGAGAGACCGGATCACAGGTAGGCAAGCGGCCCTCCTCCCCCGGCTGCCCCTTCCCCTTAACTCACAACTTTCTTTATGCTTCGGGAAATAAGCACCCAAGGGTCACTTTGACTCATTTTTGTGGACATATTTCTTTTCCTCTTGACTGTTCTGAGGTCCTGGGACGTAATGTTCCAAAAGTGAAGCTTCGCTAAGCCGGGCTTTTATTTAAACTCGGCTCTCCGTCCCCTCACTATTTCTCTTTCATTTCCCAATGTGCCACTTTTGCATCTTAAGACGGCCGTGAACGCTGAGACTGTGGGCGCCGAAGTCTGGGAAAGGGTGGGGGGACCTGCTTCTGGCGCTGGGGTCCGGGGTGGCGGCACCGGGATGCCGACTGTGGTTTGTCCGCTGTGTGGTTTGTTTGTTCGCTGCCAGCCAAAGTCCGTCTTCAAGGCCGCCTTGGTCTCCTCCCTGAAATAGCATTTCGGTGCCTTCCCGGGAGTTGATTACAGGGCCGGGAGCTCCCGGTGCCCAAACAAGATGTGCAAATGCCTGTGTGTGTGTGTGTGCGCGCGCGCACGTGCGCGTATGCACACGTACAGCGGAGAGAGCTTATTCTATTCTGCCGGAAGCTTGGGGGAGTTGACCAAGGTGACTCCCACTTGGAGGTGCTGGTGTCATTGGGGTCCTGTACTCACCTGGGCACCGTGGACAGAGAGGGGGTAGCAATGATCGTCCACGTGGTTGGATGGGATTGATTTAGGACGGGAAGAGCGGAGCTGTGGGCTCTGCTCAGATTCTGGGGCAGAATCACTGATCAGAACATCAGAATGTCACGTTGGGGCAAGGAGTGAGGGCAGATGGCTGGTCCTCGGGCTGGAGGGACCTTGCAGGTCCCTGGATCGGTCCCCGCACCCTGTGTGGGATCGAGGCCAAGTGGGTCACTTTGGAGCGGGCTCAGACCCATCGGGGCAAGAACCAAGCAGTGGAGAGAAAAGAGGCCGCCCCTCCTAAGTCACCCCGGTTAGAAGCCCCTCTTTCTTGGGCTTGGTGTCCCGTGTCAGCATCTGATATCATCACGAATAATTCCCATTCATTATGGGGTCTGCTGCTACGGCACACCCCTCAAGCCAGGTGCTGGCCTGAGACGTCCTGGGGCATCAGCCTCTGGGCTTCAGGTGCTCCAAGATGACCCCTGGGTCAAAGTGAGGATAAGAATGTTGCTCCCCAAGTGCCACTGGCTTGGTCTGTTGTTTGCCACTGTGTGTGTTGCAGGGGGGGCTCCCCAAGAGGCCAGAGGGAAGGAAGGCGCATGTCAGTGTCTCCCCTGAAGATAGCCCCTTGCCTGCTGCTCCAGGGGCTGATCAGATCCCAGTGTGATGTCAGGGCTGACGGGGCAGCCACAGGCAGGGGAGCTGCCGGCGGGGTGCGTGTGTGCGCGCGCACGTCTGTGCTGCAGGGCACACAAACGGGCACTGCGACTGACCACAGGAGGTGGGGCAGCCATGGAGACTGGCGGAAGGCACGGCTGGTGGGACCGCATCTCATGTGTGTTTGAGCTCAGTGACGCGGGCCAGCTGGGGCGGACGGGGCGCTAGCCAGGGTGCCTTGCTCTCCGGCTGGCAAGGGCTGCAGGCTGTGGGACCAGGGAGGATGGTTACTCCATTGGCCTGGCTGCCAGGGGCCTCCGGCCCAGCCTTCATTTAACAGATGACCAAGCCGAGGCCCAGCTGGGTGACCACAGGGGACCAGAGAGCCAGGGCTCGGAGGCTGGAAGGGGGTCCTTGGGGGAATCAGAAGCAGTGGCAACGTCTTGCAACCTCCTGGGCTAAGTGAACTTGAGGAGCTTTTCATGAACTGAACAAACAGTCCGCTCTGTGCCTTTATAAGTGTTGAGCACCACGCCCTCGGCCGAGGACAGCACGGCGACGGGTGAAGTAGGGACCTTCTCCCAGGACGTGCCTGAGGAGAAATTGGTACTTTCTATGAAATCCTCATTTGGATGCATTTTCATTAAAAAATACTTCTTTCAAAGCTCGGTTAGAAACTGGTTCCAGAAGAGAGAAGTCCCCAGGCTGTCTCCCCATGTTTCTCAAACCTGGTTAGACCTTGACCTTCGTCTTTACTTGTAACTCAGAGCTTAAGCAGTCCCTGGGCAAGTCTCGCTCTGCAGCCCTGGGCTCAGTTTCCCAACCTGTAAAGGGAGGGAGTTGGATCAGCACGGCCTTGAGGCCGCATCCCCACAGCCAGCGGCGGGCTTCTGAGCCTGTTCTGGGGACCCCGCCGGCTGCGGGCCTGCTTCTCAAGGGCACTGCCCCTCTGTGACAGCGTAAGACAGTTGTGGCGGCCTCAGTCCGCACCGGGCAGCTGGGGGGCTGGGGGCCACGATGCTGAGCGTGTGTGTGGACGGGGACCTGTCTGGCCAGACGCCCCACCTGCCAGCTTCCAGAAGTAGCTGTCACTGCTCATGGCCCACTGGGCTGGCATTTAAGGCGTGTCTGGCTGACTCTGGGCCGCTGCCCAGCAGCTGTCCAGGAGGGGCTGGTGAGGAGGGGGCTTGGGGCAGGTGCGGGCGGCCTCAGGAGACCTCAGCTCTCCCTCCTCCGTCTCTCGCGAGCACCTAGCTTCCACTTGGTTTGGCACGTGGGCCCTGGGTCCTCTTCTGCAGTCAGGCAGCCTCCAGCCCTCTCGAGGCTGCGGCCTTGCCCTGGGAAGATGCCGGAGGGCTCGTCAGCCGGGCGGGGATGAGTCACGGAGCAGTGACTGGCCGCTGAGACACAGGCCGCTTCTTCCAGCCAAGGGTCGGCCTTTTTTCCTTGTTCTGGACTGGCTTTATGGCTTTTACAAATCGAGCAGTTTTATCTTGTTCCAAGTGCTTGTGTTTCAGCAGGGAGACTCTCCAGGAAGGGAACTTTCCACTGAGGGGCTGTGACTTAGCTCAGCTAGGCCTCGGGGAGGGTGGGAAGGGCCACGCGGTGAGCTGTCTGCAGAGAATGTGGATGTTTCTCCGCTCGGTCAGGAAGGTTGGCGCGGGGGCCTGGAAGGGCCGGGCTGCACTGCACCCGGGAGGAGAGAGCTGGCACTCTGCTCTGCTCGGGGGCGGGGGGGGGGGGTCCTGTGTCACGGTCATGGGAGGGCAGGGAGCTGGACAGCCCCCACCGTGGGCGGCGTGCCTCAGTCCTCACTCTGCTGCACCCTCTTGCCTCTGGGTCCCGGGCATTTCATACTCTTGGCCTGGACAGCTGCTGCGGTCATCAGCTTCCTGGACCCTCTCTGCCAGGGCTTCACTCTCCTCGTCTCCAAGATGAGAAGCTTGGCCCGAGGCCCTCCTGGCCCTCTGCCTCTTCCACCTCTGACTGACGAGGGCCTTGGTTTCCTGGGGCTGCTGTAACCAAGTACCACCGCTTGGGGAGCTTACAACGACAGCAGTTGATCCTCTCCCGCTCTGGAGGCCAGAAGTCCAAATTCAAGGTGTCCGAGGCTTGGTTCCTTCAGGAGGCCCCGAGGGAGCATCCCTTCCAGGCCTCTCTCCTGGCTTCTGGCGGCAGCCGGCGCCCCGTGGCATCCTCGGCGGGTGGATGCCTCTCTCCAGTCTCCGCCTCTGTTGTCACACAGCCTTCTTCTGTGTCTCAAATCTCCCTCTGCTTCTCTTATAAGGACACTTGTTCCTGGATTTAGGGCCACTCGGATAATCCAGGAGGACCAAAATTCTAGAACCGTATCCTAATGACATCTGCAAGACCCTTTTTCCAAATAGGTCCACATGCACAGATTCCAGGTGAACATGAATTTGGGGGGCGGGGCACCATTCAACCCACTCCAGTCCCCATGCATCCTGGATGCACAGGCTGATTCCATGTCCCAAGATCACTTGCCATCCCCCACTCTGGCCATGGGGTCCCCTACCCCTGGTGGGGTGTGGGAAGCTCAGCCCCATGAGAACTGCAGAAGCCTGCCCACCCCCCTTCCAGGCACCTTCTTGCCGGAGTTGCCTTGTGTTCCCTGCTGGTGGGGGTGAGGCCTGGGGCAGGCCCTGGGGACAGAGTGGACCTAGGATGGAGGGCTTTGGTACCTGGGTCTGCCTGCCCAATAAGGGCACCTTCGCCTGGTGCCTTGTAATTTTTTTTTCTTTGAGCTCCAAATCGGTCTGTCCAAAACTTTTCCTGATTAGAGGATTTATTTCTATGTAAAGTCTTACTAAGGAATGGCATGACAATCACGCTGTTACGCATTAAAGAACCACCTTCAATAGCATCATAGTGTGAGACTGGGACTGTCCTGAGTGGTCACTGCAGCCATTCTGTACTATAAGGACCTGGGGTGCCTGCGGCTCTGGACTCCTTTTTAAAGCATCGTGGTAAAATGTACACAACATAAAATGTACCTCTTTTAAAAAAAATTTTATTGGAGTATAGTTGATTTACAAGGTTGTATTAGTTTCAGGTGAACAGCAAGGTGAATCAGTTATACATATACACATATCCACTCTTTTTTAGATTCTTTTCCCGTACAGGCCATTACAGAGTACTGAGTAGAGTTCCCTGTGCTCTACAGTAGGTCCTTATTAGTTATCTGTTTTATGTATAGTAGTGTGTATATGTCAATCCCCACCTCCTAATTATCCTTTTCCCCATTTCCCCCCAGTAACCATAAGTTTGTTTTCTACATCTGTGACTCTATTTCTGTTTTGTAAATAAGTTCATTTGTCCTATATTTTAGATTCCACATATAAGCGATATCATATGATATAAAATGTATAAAATGTATCTTTTCTATAATTTTTAGGTGTACAGTTCAGTGACATTAAGTGCGTTCACATAGTTGTGCAACCATCCATCCATCTCCAGAACTTTTTCATCTTCCCAAAGTGAAACTCCATTAAACACTACCTCCTCTTTGCCCCCTCTGACCTGACCCTGGCAAACACCCTTCTGCTTTCTGTCTTTATGAATTTGACTATTCCAGTTTCCTCATACACGTGGAATCATGCACATTTGTCTTTTTTGTGACTGACTTATTTCACTTAATGACTTCA